TACACAAATATAGACAGCATAATCATAACCCATAAACCATAACCTTGTCTTAGACACCCCATTTGACCCCCTTTATACAAGATCTAGGTGCCACTACAGGACCTTGGTCGCAACACTGATCTATATGGTCCCAGATTATATCAATAATGTCACATAAGCAGTTTCAGTGAAGTATTTATTTAGATATAACTGCTAGTCCCCATCATCCCCATTCCAATGGGTTGGTGGGAAACAGAGTCAAAATAATAAAGTATCTACTGAAAAACGCTGAGGAGTCAGATTCTGATCCATATTTAACACTATTAAATTACAGAATGCCACCAATAAAGCACAAGTTGTTACCTGTTGACATTTATTTCACAGAAAACAGAACCAGAATGCCTGTAATGATAGAAGCTGATGTCAGAGAAACTGGGGACTTGCAGATGTATAAAGAGACAGAAAAGGCCAAAACCAAAAAAAAAAAAATACATTATGACCTAGGGTCCCAGGAGCTGCCAACACTTCAAGAAAATGACACCATGCATATCTATCAAGGGAAAAAATAGTTACAAATAGCAGTGGTTTCACCTGAGGTTGCCTCCCCAGACAGACACTTACTGAAGAAGAATAGGCAACACCTTCTCCAACTTCCACAAAAGAGGGAGATAAGGGGCACTGAGTTTGCCATTTTGCCCAAGGAGATCTCAGACAAGTAACAAGCACAGCAGATTAAGACAGATGAGCCCGAGCATTTAGCACTGACAGAATAAATGGACTCTGCCTTCTGACAATAGCAGTACTGATATTTCAAGGTAGACCTGCAAGTCCAAGCAGTGGTGCAAAGCATCTCAGAGATTAATTGCACATTGGTAGTAAATTCAGTCAGTAGATGGACTGTAAGTATTGGGAATTGTATGTTATGTAAATATTGATTGTAAATTATTATCTTTAAATCTGGCTGGGAAAGGGAGACGTGGGGAACTGTACCTTTAAGAGGCTCATGTTATGTAATGCAGAGGCAGCTGGAACTGAACCATTGACTGAAGCAGATCACTGAACACCACAGTATGGCAGGGAGCATGGCAGAAGTTTGGCTGAGGGGGAGCTCCCAGCCATGGGCACCAGGTTTATATAATTTTTGGTGGTGCACAGACTGGCTCCAAGCAGAGCCATCCTGTCCATAGGACAACTTCCCCGGGCCCCGCACTTTGGGGGGCCCCACGCTTCAGGGGGTCCAGGGCAGCCTGAGCGGGTTAACGGGGGGCCTGGCGCCAGCAGCAGCAAGCGACCCGGCCCCAGCCCACCCCGTTCTGCTCCGCCCCACTGGCTCCCAGCATCACTTGGGGGAGGGGGCGGAAGCCAGAAAGAGGCAGGGCGGGGGCTTGGGAGAAGGGGTGTAATGGGGGTGGGGAGGGGGCAGAGCAGGGCAGGGTTGGGACTGGGTCGCTCGCTGCTGCCGGTGGGGTGGAGTATAGTGGGGTGGGCCGGGTCGCTCGCTGCTGCTGGCACCAGGCCCCTTGCTAACCTACCCAGGACGCCCTGGACCCTGTGTCCCCCTGAAGCACGGGGGCCCCCAAAGTACAGCGACCCCAAACATTGGTGTAGCCGGGCCCACGTTTCTAAAAATTGGTAGAGCACAGGCACCACAGGCCCGTATAACTCGCCACCTATGCTCCCAGCTACTCCACTCCTGGCCTCCCCTAGCAGGTGATTCTGGCTACTGGTGTGTGCTCCCAACTCTTACCTTATTGGTTGTGTAAGTGTCCCACACGATCAGTTTCCCATCTTGGGAGGCACTGACCAGGAGTCTAAGAGAGAGGAAGCAGGCCCTGTTAGTGTCACCTCTCCCACTGGGCCACTCCCACCAGCATCCCCCTCCCGTCCCTGTCACTGCACCAGCTCACATTCCCTAAATAAGCAGCAGGGATAGGGTGACCAGATGTCCCGATTTTATAGGGACAGTCCCGATTTTGGGGTCTTTTTCTATTATATAGGCCCCTATTACTCCCCACCCCCCGTCCCGATTTTTCACACTTGCTGTCTGGTCACCCTAAGCAGGGGCAGCCAGCGTTTCACTCACTTGGAGTCCGTGCACCAGTGCATTGCATATATCTTGGCCAGGTGCCCACGCAGGGTCCTCCGCGTACGCATCTGAATGCGTCCAACTACCTCCACCCCGGACACAATCTAGGGGGGTGGGAGATTCCCCCAAGGAGAGAGAGAGTTAAACCTCAGCCAGCAGGGAAGGGGGCTCTCCAACCCCCCACATTGCCACATGGCTCCATCCCTCATTCCCTCTCCAGGCTGTTCTGGGAAGCGCAGCCTGGGGGTTGTGGCTGATTTGCACAGCCACACCCGGCTGAGGTTGGCTAACACCATCTCCTACCTGAGCAAGTGTAGTGTCAGCACAGGCTTTCCGTGCATCCTGCAGGAAGAGAGGGAATGGCAAGAGACAGAGCAAGCATGAGAGACGGGAGGCAAGGGCAAGAGAGACTCAGGTACAGGATTTGAAAACCTCTTTAGATTTACTTCCATTGTAAGCTCCGTGGGCCAGGGAACGTCATTTTGTTCTGTTTGTACAGCACCCAGTGCAACAGGCTCCTGGGCCGTGGCTAGGGCTCCTGGGCACTATGGTAATAACACAAATAATCATAAAGAATAAGTTGGGGCACAACCCCCACCTCCTCCCCCACCCCAGGCCATAGGCGCCGACTTCTGCTCCCGCCGGTGAGTGCTCAACCCCCCTCTAACCCCGGCACTGCCCCCACTCCACCCCTTCCCCCAAGTTCCCACCCCCACCCTGCCTCTTCCCACCCCTGCTCTTCCTCCACCCTGCCCCCATTCCACCCCCTTCCCCAAGTTCCCGCCCCACCTCTTCCCCCCCAAGGGCACTGTGTCCCTGCTCCTTCCCCTCCCTCCCAGAGCATCCTGAGCACCACCAACCAGCTGTTTGGCAGCGGGCAGAAGTGCTGGGAGGAAGGGGAAGGAGCAGGAACACGGCGCACTCAAAGGAAGAGGTGGGGAAGAGGCAGGGGGAGCTTGGCTGCCAGTGGGTATTGAGCACCTGCTAATTTTTCCCCGTGGGTGCTCCAGCCTCAGAGCATCCATGCAGTTGGTGCCTATGCCCCAGGCTATACATCTACTTTTCTCCACACTAAGCCTCTCCACTGGGGTGCACCCCATGCACACCCCAAAGGACAGGGAGATTAAATCCTGGGGAGAGGAGAGGAAGGAATCAAATACTATGATGTGACACTCCTTCCCTGGCCTCGCAGACCACCCACCACCTGCCACTCATCCCTACCACATGCCATACACATTTCTTTCTTATTTGGGAGGAGGGGAGGGAGATTTAGTAGTAGCTTTCTTAGTAGGGGCTCTTGGGATTAAGGCAGGAGAGAGCTGAGCTCTCTCTGGATGGGAATTCCCTGCTGTGGAGGGAGAGGCTCCTTCAGGATAGGATTATTTTGGGCGGAGTGGAGCAGCTCCCTTGGGCTGGGATTCCCCTGAGCAGATGGGAGGGGGGAGAAAGTGGGGCGCATGGACTGGTTCCATCTCCAGTGTTACCGCAATCTGCTTCTTCAGCTGCTCGGCCTCCTGCCTCATCTGTTCCATTTCACCCATCTCAATCCGCTAGTAATGGGTCCTCCACCCGGGATAGCCTGAGTCCTGGAGAGACCAAAATGGGAGTGGTTGTCAGAGGCCACTAGTTAGAAGGTCTCACCTTTCCCTCACACCTCCCATTGCTCAGCATCCCAAAGGGCTTTACACACTCCATGTGCACATGGAACACTTTACCCACCTGCTGAGATGCAGCATTCTCTGGGGTGGGACTTGGCAGCCATTTAACAGCTGCATTACAGGGCACTTTGGGACAGGAAGTGGAGTGCTGTATCTGGTTGAACCTGTGTGAGGACTATAGGAAGGAGGAATGGACTCATCTCAGTTGAGGTTTGGCCAAGAAAATGCAGTTCATTGCGCAACTCATGGGGAGAGTGACAAATCTCAGGCAATCAGGACTCTAGTTTCATATTTTCCCTAAAAACATTTCTAGCATCACACAACACTGCGACCTGTGCTAACTCGGAGCGGAGAGGGAGTCAGCTACACAGCTCTCTGAAATCTACTTAAAATGTCCAGTTTTCCCCAGTGACTCTAGCTCCTCCCCCAGGCTGCAGACCCCATCCTGTCTCCCACACACCTGCTCTTTGTTAGTTCAACATTTCCCCGGTGATGGTGTTAGATTCCCAGATGGGCCCCATGTGATTTGCATCTCACCTGTTTGTCGGCAGAGATCAGCTCCCAGGTTTGGAGTTTCCTTAGGCCCAGCCAGCCCCGAGGTTAGTGACAGACCCTTTGCCAGGACCACAGCTTCCCAGGCGAGGAAACACGATGGGCTGTACATGCAGGATTTCTTCCAGCACCTGAGGGGTTACTTTGGCCATTCCCACCAGGTAGGCAGGGGTTGCCTTAGCCCTGTTTGAGGGAATCCTTTCTTTCCACAGTCTGTGCTCTATTCATCCCTAGATCCCAGTTTCCCTGCCCTTGGGGAGACAGCTCCCTGGGCTCACGGACCCCTCAGCACTGGGGAGATAGCTCCTGAACTCCTTTCCCTTGGCTCAGTCTCAGCCCCTTCCTTATGGTTGCTCCTGCTCAGGCACATGCAGACAATTCTCAAGTCTCTCCTTTTATTCCTGGCTTTGCCAAGCCAGCTGGATTTAGCTCTTTGACTCTCTCCCCAGAACTCAACTCCACCACCCCTTGAGCGTTTCTGTGGCTGTTCCTTGAGTCCCCCCAACCTGAGCCACACTTCAAGGTTCTCAAAGCCCTGTTCGGGGGTGCCTTGAGATGCAATGCAGAATCTCAGCTTTCATTACACACAAGTTGGTTTCTTGCTCTTTTTCTTGCAAAGAGACTTACAAATGCAATACAAGGATTGACAGGGGAGTTGTTCCTGGATTTCCCTAAAGCTTCCCCAGGGCAGCCTCTGGAGTCCAGGAAAGCCAAGGTCACAAGCCCTTGGATTTTTGGGATGGCCCATGGCTGCATTTGTGAGAGTCAGTGACCCTTGGGCTGGCCCTGATGCTTGTAGGGGTGAGCCAAGGCTCCTCTCTGCTAGTTGCCTGTGGCTGAGTGGTCAGGGTCACCTGTGGCCACCCAGAGGGGCAGCTCAGTAGCATTAGAGGCAGTATATTCTAGTGAACTAAGTGGAGTATGGCCAGCAAATCAATAATCTCAACACTGATCCCAGCTTCCTCTGTGGCTGTACCCCAGGTCCCCCAGTTATGAAATGGGGTTAATAAGCATGACCCACCACGTGGTGGGGCTGAGACAACCAGCTGATGTTTGGTAAGTGAGGCACTACAATCCCCCAGAATTCACAGGGAGGACTGGCTGCTTCCCCCCAGCTCCCAGCCTGCTTGGAGAATTGTTCCTCTAGTAAAAGTTGGCAACATGTTCCTGTTCTCCTGAAGCAGCTGACTGAGTGGAGACAGGACCTAAAGATCCCTCCCAGCCCCAGCCCCACTAGTTCAAAAATCATGAGTCAGGCCCCAAGATCATGAGATTTAAACCAAAAATATATGTGCCTCCTTGTTTCTTTGCTGTCTGGTTTCTGGGCCTTCTGGATGCACTTAAGTCCCGTTTCCCAGCTCTTTTCCCCAGCAGCGAGGGCTAGAGCTGTATCTTTTTAAAATGAAAGCTGAGATTCTCAGGTAGTTACAGAATCAGGAGCAGAGGCATTAGGAAAAACATAAAATATCATGAGATGTGACAAAATCATGAGAGTTGGCAATACTACCAGACACACTTTTTATAGTCCATTAAATTCTGAAGAAATGGGTTTTTTACCCACAAAAGCTTATGCCCAAATAAATCTGTTAGTCTTTAAGGTGCCACCGGACTCCTTGTTGTTTTTGTGGATACAGACTAACACGGCTACCTCCTGATACTTAAGTTCAGGGTGTATCCCATACTGCCATCCCCAGCCCTGCAAATCCTCAGGCCAGACTGCTGAAGAACAATAGAGTCCCCCATAATCAGGAATCAATTACCTTTCAGGCATCGGAGGTAATCTTTCTGGACTCTGTTCTTCACCCTGCATCCACCCTCCCGTGCATCAGCAATGTACTGGAGACTGTGCCCAGCTCTGTTCAGCTGCCTCCACTCACATCAAACCAGATCATTTCCCTCTCACCTTGCATGGACCCTGTGCTACACTCCTGCCATTAGTTCTTGGTACCTCCTCACTGTCACCTCTGGGTAGTCCTCAAGCTGCACCTACCATCTTGCAGTGTGTTTCTCTCTGGCTCATCTCCTCCAGCCTCTGCTCCTGAAATCCAGGCCCCTCTTCTGAAATCCTCATCTCAGGCTCCATCTCCTCTGGCCTGGACAATTGCAGCTTCCTCGCATCCAGCCTCCCTACAGCTGTTTGGCTGTGACACCCCTCCAGAAGCTTGCTTAAGTTGACTTCACGGACTTCTCTCTCCCCCCTTTCCACCATGTGGGGCTGAGAACATCCTGCTACTTTGCAGCTCCTGCCACATTTGGAGCAGCCTTCTTGGATCCTCCACCTTACCCACTATCCATCCCATTTCCAGACTCACCCACACATGCCTTTCCTCTCTTGGCCTATTCAGTTCTTTCTCCCTCTCCTTGGCTGTGTTTTTAAACTCTGGAATTGGTTTGGGGGGCCAGAGTTGTAGGAAGCTGCTACATGGAATGAAGTTGCAGAAGATGAGGGGTTTACAGAGCTGGTAGGAGGATCAAAAGGATAGAGGCACACTGTTAAGGAGGGATAGAAAAGCTAAATATAGAGGGAGTGAGAGAAGCTATGTCTCAGCCTCAGGTCTCCATCAGAACCCTTAAATCCCTTTGAGGAAACAATCTAAATGAAGTTTGGGAATTGTTTCCAGCCTCAGACGGACAAGGAGCCACAGCTGAGAGATAAGAATAAGTCTACCTTCCCCATAGCATCCACTGTGCCTCATCCCAAAGTGATTTGCAGAGAGTGAGTCACCTCCCAGCTCTAAAATGCAGCTGCCTCTGGGGAAGGACATGGCAGGTGCTTAAGAGTGGTACTGCATGAAAATGTAGGACAGGAAGTGGAGGAGAATCCAGTCTCAGAATTGAATCAGCAAAGAAAACTAAAGGAAGCAGAATGGAACTACCCCAAGCTCAGTGGTTCTCAAACTTTTGTACTGGTGATCCCCTTTCACACAGCAAGCCTCTGAGTGGGATTCCCCCCCTTATAAATTATTTTATTTTTTTATTTTTAACAGTATTATAAATGCTGGAGGTGAAGCAGGGTTTGGGATGGAGGCGGACAGCTCCTGATCCCCACGTAATAACCTCCCCAGTTTGAGAACCCCTGCCCAAGCTGGAGATTGGCCCAGGACATGGGAGTTAACACCCTGACTTTGGGGGAAATACCCATGGATATATCAAACCTAGCATAGATGAAGGGCCTATATTCTCAGAAGCAGCTAGTGATTCTGGGTACCTCCATTTTTGGGTGCTCAACCTCAGATACCTTAAAAGGACCTGGTTTTCAGAAGGCAGGTGCTCATCACTTTCCAAAAGTCAAGCCCCTTTAAGGTGTTTCAAGGTGGGTTCACAAAAACTGAGGAACCCCAAGCCACTAGTACCTTTTGACAATATAGGTCAGTCTATTGATTAATGACTCAGCTGGAAGCTAATACCTTGAACAGCACAGCAACCCCTACCACTGTGCTAGGGCATCGGGGTCAGGAGTGATTTGGGGGAGATGATGCCCCCTACTGAGTCACCCAGGCCACTGCAGCACAGCACCCCTAGCAACATGCTGGGGTATTGGAGCTAGTCTGCCCCCTTCGCTGAATCCCTCCGTTGGCTTCCCTCATTATACTCAAGTTTCTTGTCTTCTCCACAGCTCTGCTCTTCCTGGTTTAACAGCTCTTGTCATGTTTCCCCTCCTCACCCCTGCGGCTCCAATGAAATCAACAAACTTTCCTGTGCCTCTTCCCAGGCTGCTCCTTAGCCATAAAAAGCCTCCAGCTAGGGGTGCTGGAACAATTTGCATAGTGGGGGTGCTGAAAGCCTTGAACCAACTGTAGATCCTGTACATGATGGGAACCACTTCAAGCCAGGGGCTGCAGCAGCACCCCTAGTTCCAGCACCTTTGCCTCCAACTGATCTTCCTCTGCTATAAGCAAACAGTCAAATCCCAGCAGGCATTTGACCTATTTATAATAAACTAAGCAAATGTATCTTTGTTTATAAAAAATGGGTCTATTCAATTATCTTCATGCCCTGCCTCCTTCATGTATCACTCATGTTCCTGGCCTGTAAGCTCTTCTGGCCAGGGCCTGTGTCTTTGTATGCGTTAGTACACCACTTAGCACCACTGACTGGGTATCTGGGTGCCACTGGAACAGGCGTATTAAACATATCATAAACCAACTGTAATGGCTGAGTGGAGAGCGCCCCCCAGCCCTGCAGCACAGCCCCCCAGTACCACTCCGAGAGGTAAGAACGCCTAGGGCATCACCCACATCACCTCATCCTGTTTGAATGAGAAATGAAGAAAATCGTTGGGCAGGGGTGTCTGCGAGGGTGGGGGTTGAACCCTCTGGTTTATATCAGCCCATGTGGCCTCACCCATCTTGGAAAGGGGGCTGCAGCTCAGCTGGGGCTGGGGAGCCTTAAATAGAAAAGCGAAAGGCACGGAAGGGCTGAGGATTAACAAGGGATGTCATGGTCCCTGTGTAATCCCTAGGCAGGTGCTGTGTACTTGCCCCGGTAACCCTGAGCATCTTCAGAGCTGGATAGAGAGATGATCCTCTTCCTCTGCTACGGAGATCAAAGGGCAAGGATAAAATTACCCTGATCTCGCTCTTTTTCTTCAAATGGGATAGGAGCTTGTTGCAAAGAGCCGGGTGGGGAGCACAATGAGTGTGTGGGGTCCTATTGGAGAGTCTGACTTCCAGTTCCCTACAAGGGGGGTTATACACCCCTGTGACATGCTGGAAACTGCTGTGATTTTGTCCTGCTGGGAAAGGGTGTCTGCATCCCATGTGCAATAGAGACAAGTTGATTTTAACCCTAACCTTTCTCCTATAGAAATATCCCCTTCCACGGTCTACACATCTATGTACAAAGTGAGACCCACACCCAGGGCCCCCCCAGACCTGCAGAGAGGGTCAGATAAGGCATCTAGGACCCACTTGGGCATACAGAACGCCCCAAATGCCAAGGAGAGGGAGGTAGGCATAGGGCAAGCAGCAGCAAAGGAATGTCCTTACCGTGGTCTGTGGGGAGAGGTGACTGCTGTCCCCTCCTGGTTGGCACTCCCTTGGTCCCCTGGGGATTTAGTCCCCCGTCAGGATGGGAGCCCCTGGTCACGCAGTCCTTCCCGTCTTGGCGCCAGCTATGCACACACTGTGTCCCTCTCTCACTCTTGGTGTGTCAGTCTCTCCCAAGACTGATCTCCCCATGGGGAGCTGGGAGGCTGTGTCGGGGGGTGGGGGGAGAGGTGGGTTGGGGAGGGCTGATTCTAGGAGCAGCGTCAGGCAAATTAAATCAGACACCAGAGAGTTGGGGAAATCGGATTGGGACTTAATGCAAAGCAGGTGGTATGGGAGGGGATGGAGGGACAGGAGAGTGTGCGCTGCTTCTGAAGGGAAAAACACAGCATAAAGATTTGACTCACTTTGTTAGTAACAAAGTAATCAGATGAAGATTAGGCAGAAAGAGCTAGGATCATAAAATGGGGGGGCGAGGGGGATGTGCCAGACACTGAATCCCAACACTCTCCTGAGAAAAAGACCCTCATCGGGATAGGGCTCAGGTCGTAACCCGACAGGCAGGGGAAGAAAGGCCTGTGCCCCTTGTGGTATCCTGGCCACCCCCAGATAGAAACCCTCGTGTATGGGGGCAGGGCTGGGATCATGGCCCCAGGGGGATGCAGAGGTGGGATGGGGAATGGTATTGGGTGGGCTGGCAAAAGCATTTGCTTGAAGGCCTTTTGGCAGCTGCTTTTGCGGGATGCTGCTGCGGGGGATTATCTTGGCCTCAATCTCTTTTAATCTCTCCTGCAGCTTTGGCCCAATCCTGAGATAAATACCTTTTAACGGATCTCATCTGACGTCAGGAAGCATCAATCTAATCACCCGGGCCACCTCTGGGCCAGAGCTAGCCACCACAGCATTGCAGTGCCTGGTCACCTCAGATAGGACTATGGAGGCTGGTGAGAACAATCTGTCCCACAAGCGGTTTCCAAGTCCTCTCTGAATACAGGAAAGAAATTATATAGGAGAGATGTGACACTGCCAATGGATGGAGAGCGGGAACCTGAAACACACACATTGATTTTTTTTCTCTCAGCTCCTGGTCATAAAGTGAGAGTAATGGATAAAACAAGATAGGATGTTGCCAGGCGTGGTGGGGAATGAACAATTGGTTTCAGTAGATATGCATCAGAGCAACTCCTCAATGTCATTAGAGTGTAAAAGGTGTGGTAGCATCAGCTCAACCTTCTCATCCTCCAAAGCTCACTGAGATGAGATTAACCATACACAGCAGCGCTGACTGAACAGAGTCTGAGAGCCAATGGCTGTGTATGGAACAGTGACCCAATCATTATATTACACTTGTATTTCTGTCCTGGGCTTCCCACACAGCTCTGCCAATGTCCCTCAGTCCTGCCCTGAAGCTCCCTGCTATTAGGCTGTCTCTGCCTTAGGCCTGTGCATTTCATGTAGCCTGGATTGTTCTCTGGTTCTAATCCCTCCCAGAAATGGGGTTATTGCTCTTTTCAATACTCCCGCTCTCTCAGCTCCATATAATCCCATCTCTGAATGCTAATACCCTGGGCAGTGACAGCAGATTGTTCTTATCCCAGCCTGGACAATGCTAAACGATACAACAGCCCTGCTCCTCCCATAAGTATTTGTGTGTGTGTGAGAAAGATGGTGGAGACCTTGTTTCAGGGCACCGAGTTCCCTAGAGGAGATCCTCAACCTCACAAGGGTCAGACCCAGAACAAGCAGAGCATGGCTCTCCCTCCTGTCCACCATGTGTAACTGTTGGGAGGGGAGTGAGTCTTTGGAGCCTGGTTTGTTTTCCCTCTTCCAGGACTCAGTTTCTCTCCATCATTTGTTAATTAAATCCAGGGCTGGTGCAAGGATGTTTCGCACCATAGGCGAAACTTCCACCTTGCGTGCCCCTCCCCGAGCCCTGCGGCAGCTCCCCGCCCCCCCATCCTGAGGCACCCCACCCCCCCACGGCAACTCCCCACCCCCCTCCGCACTGAGGCGCCCCCCCCCTGCGGCAGCTCCCCACCCCCCGGATTGGGGAGCCGTGCGGCAGCTCCCCACCCCAGCTCACCTCTGCTCCGCGTCCTCCCCGAGCACGCCGTTGCTGTTCCAGTTCTCCCGCCTCCCAGGCTTGCGGCGCCAATCAGCTGTTTGGCACCGCAAGCCTGTGAGGGAGAAATGCAGAGTGGGGCGGCGTGCTCAGGGGAGGAGGCAGAGCAGAGGTGAGCTGGGATGGGGAGTTCCCCTGCGTGCCGTCCCCCACCTTGTTTGCCAAAGGCGGCCCTCCCCGTGCCTCCCTGCCCCAGCTCCCTCTGCCTAAATGCTGCTGGCGACCGGGGCGGCCGAAGATCCGGCCACTGCGGTGGCCACCGAAGAAAATGCCGCCCCCCAAATCTTAGTGCCCTAGGCGATCGCCTAGGTCGCCTAATAGGTTGCACTGGTCCTGATTAAATCTCCAATCCTTTCCCATCCACCAGGCAGAAGACTCTTCTCTCTCTCCAAATAGGCCCACAACTCCTGTCAGTCTCTGGTTGTTCATTCATCCTTTATTTCCTGCAGTCACACCCCTGACTCTCCTTCTCCCCATCTTGATCTTGGGACTCTCTGGTCTAGGGGAAGGAGGATGGCAGGTGGTTGGCCTGGGAATTCCAGATGCTTCTCTCATTCTCACCCAATCTCTGAAGAGTAAGAAAATCCCCCACCCAAAAAGGTCCCAAGAACCTTCCTTCCTCTGCTTTGCTCTTATATTAATATGGATGGTTCCACTGAAAGAAAGGACATGGGGGGAGCCTGGCTTCTTACTTCTGAGTGACTAAATAATTCTCAGGTCAAGGGAGTGAATACAGAGCTGGACACCAGGGCCCTTCCTGTTCTGCTCATGATGCCATCATTTCGTTTGTGACGTCACTGAGAAGCAAGCTGCATCCCTCCCCGTTTTTGGGGCGAGTGCACTAATAAATTGCCTTAAAGACCTCCACCCCATGTCCCAAAGCTACCAGGTCAGTGTGTGTGGCCCTGCCTCCTGCTGTCACGCCTTGCTCAGAACTCATCCCTGGCTCGCAGCTTCTGGGGTTGCTGCCCAGACTCTGAGCCTGACGTACGTCTCTGGCTTGTGGATCTGGCTCTTCCCTTGGGCACGGGGGGCTCTGGTGAGGCCCCACCACTGTGGTCAGTCCCCATATGCTCCTCGACATCTGTGTGTGACAGTTCCTGCTCCATGTCCCCCTGTCTCATCAGGTCCTCAGCCTCCATCCGCTCCTGCAACCAGAGAGTGAGAGAGATTTGGTACAACCCCTTTCCAATTGAGGTCTCCACCTTGCACCTCAGCACACATCCCTGCAATGGGACCAGGTACACTGTTCTCCCCAGTAGGACCCCAGCCCTATCCTGCAGGACTCACATATTGCCACCCTCAAGAGATCAAAAATCACGAGTAAGACCCTTAAAAATCATGAGATTTGCACACACACAAAAACCCAACCTCACAAAAACCCAAATCATAAAATTTTTAAAATATTTATTACATTGTGTTTTTTCAGTCTTTTTGTTCTCTGCCTGCCCATTCCTGTGTGCATGTCACAAGCCGTGCTGCTCATTTCCCCACACGGATTGGGTTTTATCCCCTGCTGCAGGAGCTCTCACTCACACATCAGCCCATCCCCTCTCAGCAATTAACACTGTCTCCCACCGCACTCGGTTTAGCCTCCTTAGTCCCCATCAGTTCAGTCCCCGCAGCTTCACCTGTGCTCCTCCTGGGGTTCTTCACTTCCCCTTCCAGGCCTGGAGCTGCAGCAGGGTCCCCCTCCCCTTCCCCAGGCTGTGGGGGAGGCTCTTCAACCCCCCCGCTACACCTTCCAAGGCTGGTTCTTTGGGGGTTGGGGGAGAGCCATCGGCCTGTCCTGCTGCTCCCTTCCCTGGGATTCCTACTGAGCTTGATAGGGCAATCCCTCTCCACTGCTCTCCCCAGTGGAACCTCACCCAGCCCTGGTGGGAGCCCTCACACACTGCTCCCAGCACTAGGCCCTGCTCAGGAGGAGGGGTGCGCTCACAAGCCATTCTCCACCATGGGACCTGACCCTGTCCTGGTGCAATTCCCCCAGGCTTCTCCCTCCATGGGCCCCTGACTACCCAAGGGGCGGCATTACCTGCTCTGCATGTTCCGGAGAAAGGGTATACCAGAGCGCAATGGCACAGCGCCTCCCATGGGTCACTGCCCATATGCCATGGGGATTCTCCCTTCCAGAGCTGAAGGCCACCAGCTTCCCACATTTGGGGCGCACCTGAGCCTGCCACAGAGAGGAGGAAGTGATAAATCCAGGGGTCTGACAGGCTACCTCCCTAGCCCTGTGAATGACCCTCCCCCCATCAGCAATTCACCTGGGAGGCTGAACTGGGGTATGGCTCCTGTAGCATTAAGGAAGTGGGCTTTGACAGGGACTCTAACTTCAACCAAAAGCTGCCCATGGACAAGATGGGCAGCAGGGAGGGGTAGAAAGGGAGAGAAAGAGGAAAAGGAAAAAAGAAAAGAGTGTTTGGGACAGAAAGAGAAAGACAGACACACAGAGGCTGGCAGAGGATGGGATACGGCAGCCAGGAAGGTGTTAACTTCTCCCCTGTCCTGAGATTTTCCTAAATTTGCCTTTGGCTGCCCCAATTTGAATCTGCTGAGTTGCTAGGGCTTTATAGGGATTATTTTGGAGTGGGTGGAGGGGCCTAGCACACAACTGGCTCCCCACCCCCAGCGTCTGCCCTCAGGGCTAATTCGCATCCCTTCAGCCACTCTCCTATCCTGGGCCAGGCTCAGACTTACCGTAACGGTCACTGCATCCACTTCAGTGAAGAACAGGTCCCCACCATGGAAGTCATCATTGAGGTAGAGGATCCCACTGTGGAAAGGAGGAGACAGCGGCTGGATAGTGAAGAGTCCTCATTCCCCAAATCTCCTGACCTGGCAAGGGGCTCCCTGCTGGGCTCAAACCTCCCACTCTCCAAAAAGGCTCTCAGGGTGATTGTGGAATTACAGCCCAGTGAGCTTTATGGCTCTGCCAAGGCAAACTGGTTGAAACAATAATTAAAAACAATAAGAAAACTCCTTGAAGTTCATGATCTGATGGGGTGCAACTTGCATGGATTCTACAAAGGAAAATTTTATCTCACTGATCTCTCAGAATGTGTCAGTAAAACAAAGGAGAATCAATGGACATAATTTATTTAGACTTTCAAAATGCTTTGATAAAGTTCCACATAAGAAGCTACTGAAGAAGTGAAGTCACAAGATGAGAGGCAGTATTATCATGGAGCAAAAATTGGCTCCAGTATAGAAAATAAAGAGTAGGAATAAATGGTCAGTTTTCATCCTGCCTAAGGATTAAGAGCAGGGGCCTCAAGGGTCTGTACTAGGTTTAATGTATTTATTAATGATCTGGAAAGGGCCCTGGGTAAGCAATGAGGAAGCAAAATCTGCAGATGACACAGCGTTATTTGGGTCAGTGAGTACCAGAGGGGACTGGGAGAAATGTCAGAGACACCTAAACACACTAGGGGAATGAGCAACATGGTGGCAAATGAAATTCAGCATTGATGAATGCAAAGAAACACACAGTGAAGGAAAATAATTAACCTTGTATGGTTCTAAATTTACTGTATCACAGCTGAGTGACAACCTTTCCTCAATGAGGAGCTGTGGTCAAAAAAGCAACCAAGATGCTAGGATGCATAAGGAATGGGATGGGTAATGACATGGAGAATACCATAATGCCTTCATATACATCACTAGTGCATCCTCACCTGGATACTCAGCACTGATCACCCCATCGCCAAAGGATACTGCAGAACTAAAGTAGTTCAGAGAAGAGCAGTGAGAATGATCAAGGGCTTGGAAAAACCATTGCATGAAGAGAGACTGAACAGACTGGAATCACTTGGGAGAGTTGCCTTAGAAAAGGGGGGGAATAAAAGGGGACTGGGATGGGGTGCATTCACCTCTTGCGAGCGCCCCCTGGTCGAGTGTGTGCGTGCCTGCACTTTTTTCTCAATTTCCTTTGCTCACAGTGCCCCCTGTTGGCAACTGCACTTGTCAGCCAGTTCTTCGGTGATTCAGCCCTCTGGCCAAGTCACACTCTGTCCATGTGTGAAACAAACCAACCCCTTCTGGGGTACACAATCCAAAAGTCCCCAGTGTCCTGCAGCCCTCCCTGGGCTCAGTCTTTATGCTCAGTCCAACAGGGCCCATCATGGTACCCTAGGTCGGTCCAGCCAGGTTGAAAGGCTCCTACTCTGGAACAGAACAGCGTCCTGAGGGCTTCTTCCCTGGGGACTCCTTGCCTCTACTTGAGTCTTTAGTGACCCCAGCCTTCCTGCTGAGCCAGCTCTCTTGGACTCAGTTCGCTGACCACAGCTCCCTGCTGGGTCAGTCCCAGTAATGCAGCCCCCTTCCCTGGGATGCCATAGTTCTAATTCCCTTCCTTGGGGCATAGCCACTTCCCGCCAGTGGCTGTTGGGGGGACCCAGTCCTACCCACTACTCCAGGTCCTGACCCAAGGACCCTTTAAGTATATCAGCCCTGTGATTGCTGCTCTATGTTTCCCTGGGCCACTTCCCTGTAGCCCATCTTAGTTGAGTCCCAGCAGCCAACCAGAAGCTCCTGCCTCACTATCCTGGTTCCTGCCAGTAACTACCTGCTTTGCCCCCTGCAGCCAGCCAGGAGCACCTCATGCTCCTCCAGTCCCTGTAATCAGACTGAACTCTTACGGCCCTGCAGCTCCTTTTATACGTGTCTGCTGGGCCCTCATTGGCAGCTCCCTTCAGTCCCTTTCCTGATTGGCTGCATCCCATGCAGCCACACTAGTCAGTTTGGAGGTCCTTTCTATTGCTCTTTTTTAGGGGAGGTGTGGCAGAACTGCGAGGCCTCCAGCA